CGATGACATAGTCAAGTTCAGGGTCTGGCAGGATAAGGACAGGTGCGGACGTGAGTGCGGTCTTAAGTTGTTCCACTGCTTCCTGGTGCTTCGCCTCCCATTGATATGGTGTATTCTTCTTCAACAAGTTCGTTAATGGTGCGGCAATCTTGGCGTAGTTCGGTACGAACCGGTTGTAGTAGTTGGCGAATCCAAGGAACTGTTGTAACTCCTTCACGTTCTCAAGGGTCTTCCACGTTCGCATTGCTTCGATCTTCTTAGGATCCACGTGAACTCCTTGAGCGCTCACCATATGTCCAAGGAACTGGACTTTTTTCAACGCAAACTCGCTCTTGGATAGTTTCACGTAGAAGCGTTCTCGTCAAAGAATTTCAAACACCCGTCGTAGATGCTCAACGTGCTGCTTCATATCTTTCGAGTAGATCAGGATATCGTCCAAATACACCACCACGCACTCGTCCAGAAGGGGCCGAAGGATGTGGTTCAAATCCGCCTGAAATGTGGCTGGTGCGTTAGTGAGTCCGAATGGCATCACGAGATACTCGTATGACCCATACCGAGTTCGAAAAGCGGTTTTGTGGATAGAGTTGTCCGCCATACGAATTTGCCAGTATCCTGATCTGAGGTCGAGCTTGGAGAATACCGTAGCACCGCGAAGTTGATCGAGTAAGTCGTCGATCCGTGGTATCGGGTATTTATTTTTTACAGTCTGCTTGTTCAAGGCTCGGTAGTCGATGCACATTCGCAGACTTCCGTCTGGCTTTGGAGTGAAGAGAACTGGAGCTCCGTACGGCGAAGTCGAAGGTCGAATCAGCCCTTTCTCTAGGAGATACTCTATTTGTTTTTTCATATCGGCAAGCTCAGTCGGGCTCAGCCAGTATGGTGCTCGGAACGTTGGCTTGGACCCCGGCTCTTCTACGATCTCGTGTTGATGTGTCCGGTATGGCGGTAGTTGATCAGGTAAATCATCGGGGAGAACGTCCTGGAACTCTTCAAGAATTTTCTTGACTGCTGGAGGAAATTCCTGGGTCTGCTTCTCTCCGTTGTCTGCCTCGTTGACTATTGCCATGAATTCCGCCGTGGTCCGTTTGACGTCCTTTTCAAAGCGTGCGAGTGTCTCGACTGGAATATTTCCCGTGTCGTACCATTTGGGAAGGCTGATTTTCCTCCCGTTGTTGTTGATGTTGGCCGTCCGGTTAACCCAGTTGATCTCGGGGTTGAACTTTTTAAGAAAGTCTCTCCCGAAGATTACGTCGAGTCCTTTGATATTTGTGACGGGGAGAGCAGGCTTCCATCGAAGGGGTCCAATCTGGAGTAGCAACCGTGTTTCCCCGTAGATAGGTAGCTTACTGCCATCCACCATCGTTGCAGAGAAGCTTGAGGACTTGATGTCACCTCCGAGTCGATCGATTGCCTTTTTGTCATAGACGTTGTGCGACGCCCCGCTGTCCACGAGTGCTTGGAGGCGCTGTCCGTTGCAGATCACCTCGAGCAGGAGTGGTGAGCGTTGCTCGAAGTACCCAAAAATAGTCTCGTTAATAGGATCATAGGGTACATCCCAATATTCAGTACACATCGTGGTTCCACTGTTTTCTCCTGGACAACTATCTGGCCTGGGCTGCGTGGAGAAAGGCTCTTCTCCAACGCCAGGAGTAGAGGTAGTAACCGTACAAGTTGACCCTGAGGGGGTGGATCCGGTCAACGCCTGCGATCCACTGGATGCATCCTTGAGGGGTTTTCGGAGTTTCTACAGCTTCTTTTGAACTCCCAGCTGCCTCTTCAGCTGCTTCAGCTCCATAGACTTCTTCCCTGGGGAGTGGAGAGTCGTCTTGGGCTGGTTCCGGGAGAGGACGTTGACGCCGTGAAAAGGTCTACTCCTTTCCGCACTCCTTAATTTTTTCCCCAGCTCCGTAGGCACCGGTACCACTTCTTTAATTGTCTGCTTCCTCTGGAGTTCTTCCCGGAATTTGTTTATGGCTCCGGACCCGCGAAAATCGCCAGTCTTCATTAAAGCATCTTTGAAAGATAGCTTTAACGAATTCTGTTTATTTCCGGGGTCGAATTGGAGAGTTCCCGTCTTGGTCGAGTCTGTTTTCGCGGAGGTTTTCTCTTCCTCGGCGAATTCCTCTAACAAATTTCGGTCAAGGGGCTTGGGATTTCGCCCTTGATTCTCCAAATCTCGCGCCCAATGCTGTCCTTCAATTTCGATTCGGTCCAGATTGCGCTGACGCTTTCGGATCTGTTTTTCCTCGCCAGCACGATACGCAATCACTGGCGAGATCCGTTTTTTGACTTTTTGTTTTTAGTTTCGCCACTCCCACGAGCTCGGAATGCCGCACGTGCAGATTTTATGTGAAAACAGTCGACAATCCGATGTCCGTTTCCGCTGCAAAATTCGCAAAGTGTTTTGTTTTTTGCAGGTCGTGAATTCGCGTCGAATTTGTCGACTTCCATGGGGTCGGCGAACGTGGTTGAAGCCGAGCGATCCCCTTGTCGTGATCCGACGACGTGGGGCCGTCGTGTTCCGGAGTTGACCAAGTCAAAACGCTCCGCGGCCGATACGATTTCGCTGTAGCTACTGCAATTCGCTGCTGCAACCTGGCGCCGAATGTCGGTTTTCAGCCCCGCGATGTAGGACTGAATTTTTTCGCCCTCGGTAATGTCAGGAATGCGATTATAAAATTCCTCCATCTGCTGCGTGTATTGCGCGACACTCCCGAATTGCCTATGGCGATGTAATTTTTCGCGCGCAATATAAGTGGAATTAATAGGCTCAAAACGTTTGAGAAGGTCTGCCCGGAACTGCTGCCACGTGGCTTCGCCCTGGAAAATGCTACTGTTGCTTCCGAGCCACTCGAGAGCTGGATCGCGCATCAACGTTGTCGCGAGACGAATTTTCTCGCCGTCGTACTCCGTCGTCGACCATCCGATTGCCGCGAAATAAATTTCCATCGTCGCGAGCCACCGCCTGACGTCGGATTTTCGATCGCTAGGGTCGAACGATTCCGGCGAGCGAAGTTTCGGAACCTCGAACTGACGCTGCGACTGCTGCGAATTCGTCGAAGCAGGAATGTTCATGGTCGAGAGGAGTCGCGTAACGCGCTGCAGTTTGTTTCGCATCTGCTCGTTCTCCAATTGCGACCGTTCAGTCGTCGCTCGCATCTCCGCTTCCATCTTGGCGATTTGCGCGAAGAGCTGCTGCGTAATGTCGTTGGTCGCCGGCGATCCCATCCTGTTCAGAAACCACACGAGGGGGTTAATTCGAAAAGCGCGGAACTGGTGCTTACCAGAAATCGGCGTCGAATTGGTCGCCCCCGGCGGTTTTTCGAGGCGATTTTTTCCGCGACCGCTGCTTAGCCGAGAGTCGTCGAGTGAGAACGGCTCTGATTACCAAGTGTCACAGGATCGAATTCTCAATCGAAACTTGTCACTAAAACTTAATACAAGGCCTTGTTATACTCGGAAAATACAAGGATAAACGAGATAAAACGAACCTTCGGGAACACACCCTTCCCGATACTACAATCACAAGTGCGCATAAGCACGCAAGGCTATTGGCACTTGGGATTACGCCCAGATTACGGCGTATACACCACTGTCGGCGCTGTCGGTGCCGTATAATAGGTATGTCGGTGGGAAAAGTAGGAAATAAGAGAAATAAATAGAAGGCTCTAGAAAATAGAATACTAGGCCGATTGAGATGAGATAAAGACCAAAATAAAGAGGAGAAAAGGGAGAATAGGATAACGGAAAAATACAATAGTGAGAAAATATTATAACGGGGACGTCCTCTCACAGTACACAACTCTAGGGTTTCATACTTTACTCCAATGTTTCATAGTTCAATCACTACTTGTTTCTGAAATGGTATTAAGAGCTTAGGTTCTAGACCTAAGGGCCCACCGTTCCGCTAGAGGTGCCCTCGTGCACCCTTTTTTTTTTAGCGCCCTCGTGCGCCCTCATGCGCTCTCCTCTCACGCCGCCCGTGTGCAGCCCGCTAGCAGCCCGAGCGCGGCCCCGCCATTTTAGCGCGCGTAGGAAAACCGCCGCCTAGGGCGGCCCGATTTTTTTTCGCGAGCCCCAGCAGGCCGTCGCCCGTAGGCCCCGCTCGCCCCTAGGCCGACGCGCGACCCTCAGCCGCCCGCCCGCAGGTCTCAGCCAGCGCGCCCAGAGCGTCACAACCCCGCCTGTAGGCCGCCGCGACGCTCCTCTAGGCCACCGCCCACGCGCTAGTCGGGCCCACGCACAGCCGCGGCCCGCCCGCTACAGCCGCCTACGTGCACGCCCCTCGTCGCGCACCGCCGCGTAGCCCAGCCCGAGTCGAACCGCGCCGCCCGAACCGAGCCGCGCCGCCCGAACCGAGCCACGCCGCCCGAACCGAGCCGCGTCGCCCGACCTGAGCCGCGCCGCCCTACTGTGCCCCACCTGCAGCAACTCTTGTTCCTGTCGTACTACTGCTTCAACTAAAACTGTTAGTGCTACTGCTACCACTCCTATTGTTCCTACTGCTACTGCTGCCACTATGGCCAATCCCTCTATTCTCACCTTTGACGCTGAGGGCCGCCCAATTAAGTTTGAAGTTTGGTTAGATGACCTTCACCTGTTCCTCCAGATCACTGCCAAGGACAATGTCTCCCTGTATGACCACACGTCAGGCGCTGCTCCCGCACCTCCCGCTACTGCTGACAGTACTGCTCGCTCCTAGTGGCAGACTCGTGATGCTCACGCCCGCCTAGCCGTTTGGAGCCACCTGCCGTTAGATGAGCACGAGCACTTCAGCCAGCATAAAACCGCTAAGGAGCTGTACGACGCAGTAGTCGCGCGCTACTCCTCCCCTGCCACTGCTGCTATAGGCCGTCTCTCACTGCCCTACCTCTTCCTCGACCTGTCCGCCTTTGCCACTGTAGCTGACCTCATCACCCACCTCCGTACCAGTGACCTCCGCTACCGTGCCGCGCTCCCCCCAGATTTCCTCGCCAAGAACCCCCCCCCCCCCCCCGATGTACCTCACACTGTACCACCTTGTCACCCGCCTCCCTGACTCCCTTCGCACAGTGAGGGACCAGTTTCTCGCCCTCTCCCCCACTGACCTCATTGTCGACCTCCTCGAGAAGGAACTCCTAGCAGCTGAGAAGAGCATTGTAGCTGTAGGTGCCTCTCGTGGTGACCTCCGCACCCCCTTCTTTGAGGGGTGCTCCCCCTCCCCCCTCCTCCCCTCCATTGCATCTGCTGCCGCTGTCGACTTCCTCAGAGTTGAGGGGGTCGGGGCCGCGTCTGCTCCTAGTGAGAGGCGCAAGGGCGGCAGGGGCAAGGGGGGCAGGGGTGGTGGAGGTGGAGGCGGGGGCGGCGACGGTGGAGGGGGTGGGGGGGGCGGGGGTGGTGGCGGAGGTGGGAGTGGCGCGGGTAGTGGGGGGGTCAGTGGCGGCACAGGGGGCAGTGGTGGCGGAGGTGGTGGGGACGGTGGTGGCAGTGGTTGCGGAGGTGGAGCGGGTGGCGGGCGCGGTGGAGCGGTGCAACGTGGGGGGTTCGGCGGTGGCTAGAGGCAGCAGCAGCAGCGTCCCGGCGAGACTCCCTCGCCCCAGCAGCTCCGTGAGTGGTACTCTCAGCGTGGGGGGTCTGAGGGTGGTGGTACCTGCCCGTACGTCATCCGCACAGGTGACCGCACTGGCCAGACTTGTGGGAAGTTTCACACGGCGCAGCGCTGTTTCTTTCGCCTCGATGACGCCTGGCGCGAGCAGTTCCCTGACGCCTCTGAGCTGCCCCGCTGGGCTGATCAGCTTAAGAAGGGAATTGATATATTTGCTCTTGATTATGATGCTATCCTTGCTGCTATATATGCATTGACAATTAGTGTTGAGGGTGACTGTTACCTGAGTGTACCGCCCGACCCAGGTATTGGGACCGGTGAGGCTGCAGCTCTAGGTGCAAGTGCGTCTGCTGCTACAGGTCCTGGTGAGGCTGCTGCCCTAGGTGCTAGTGCATCTACGTCTGCTGGTACTGCACCTACTGAGGCACTTCACACCTTCACACTCGACTCAGGTGCTTCCCGCTGTTTCTTTCGCAACCGCACTGCCCTAGAGCAGCTCCCTAGACCGGTTGCTGTCTCCCTGGGTGACCCCTCAGGGGGTCCGGTCCTTGCGACCTCCACCACTGCCCTCCCTTGTCCTGCTGTCCCGTCTGGCACGCTGTCGAGCCTCTACCTCCCCTCGTTCTCTACGAACTTGGTGGCGGGTTCCGTGCTCCAGGACGCGGGTGTTCACCAGTTCACTCCGGCCTACGAGCGTGTGACGCACTGCACGTGTGCCCGGACGGGTCGTCACCTGGCTACCTTCACTCGGCAGCCGGGGCCAGACTTGTACACACTGACCACTGAGTCCCCTCATGTAGCTGCGTCTGCGTCTGCGTTAGGTCAACTGTCGGCCCCCTGCTCGTGTCGCTCCCTGTCGCACAGGACTCTCCTCTGGCACCACCACCTTGGTGACCCGTCAGTGCAGCGCCTTCGCGGCATGCACCCCAGGTACCTTGTCTCTGGTCTTCCCAGGGTTCTCCCTCCCCTACCACCCTCGCCTACTCCTCCCTGTCTTCCCTGTGTCGAGGGGCAGCAGCGCGCCGCTCCTCACTCCTCCTCGTTCCCTCCCACAGAGGCTCCCCTACAGACTCTCCACCTGGACGTGTGGGGCCCCGCCCGCGTTCGGGGACAGGGCCACGAGCGGTACTTTCTGCTGGTCGTCAACGACTACACGCGCTACACCACGGTCTTCCCCTTGCGTACTAAGGGTGAGGTCCCTGATGTCTTGATCCCCTGGATCCGCGCTGCTCGTCTCCAGCTCCGCCAGTGGTTCCAGTCGGACTTTCCTGTCCTACGTCTGCACTCTGACAGAGGTGGTGAGTTTTCCTCTGACCTCCTAGCAGCCTACTGTGCGGAGCACGGCATCCGCCAGGCGTTCACTCTCCCGGCCTCTCTGCAGCAAAATGGAGTTGCTGAGCGCCGCATTGGTCTTGTCATGGAGGTCGCTCGTACCTCCATGATCCATGCGGGTGCCCCCCATATCCTGTGGTTGTTTGCAGTGCAGTACGCCGCGCATCAACTCAGCCTCTAGCCCCGTGTCTCTGTTCCAGAGACCTCGCCTACCCTGCGTTGGACGGGGGAGGTTGGTGACGCGTCGGTGTTTCGAGTCTGGGGATGACAAGCCTTTGTCCGCGAACAAACTCTCCTCCCGTGCGGTTCCCTGTGTCTTCCTTGGCTTGGTCCCTGACGCGCCTGGCTGGCGGTTTTACCACCCCACCTCGCGCCGTGTCTTCGCCTCTCATGACGTCACCTTTGACGAGTCGGTACCCTTTTATCGTCTCTTCCCCTACCGCACTGCCCCGCTCCCCCCCCCCGCCGCTCTTCCTCACCCGAGGTGGCCCGTCAGTAGACCCCCTCCCTCCCCAGGGTGCTGCTCCCTCAAGTGTTTCCCAGGTAGACCCGGTCGAGCCAGTCGAGGTAGCTGTTGACTCTGGTCCTGCGCGAGGTACTGAGTGTGGTGAGCCTGGTGGTGCTGGGTCTGGGGGCACTCAGACTAGGGGTGCTGAGCCTGGGGGTGCGGAGACTGAGGGTGCTGAGCCTGGGGGAGCGGAGACTAGGGGTGCTAAGCCTGGGGGTGCGGAGGCTTTGGGTGCTGAGCCTGGAGGTGCTGCGACTAGGGGTGCTGAGCCTTGGGGTGCTGAGACTGGGGGTGCTGAGCCTAGTGGCGCTCCCTCTTCACAGCAGCTGCGTGAGTCTGCTACTGCGTCTGCCCTAGTTGCTGAGCTTGTCCACTTTGCTGCTCGCTGTCGTCTAGACTACGTCGCGAGTCTTGTTGCTGGGTCTGAGTCTGTCTATCCTCCGTCCGTCGGGGGTGAGTGTGCTCTAGGCATGCACGTCCTTGAGGACAGGCAGGAGGACCTTGAGTGTCTTGCAGTCGCTGCGCCTCATCTCGTTTCCATGCTGATTGCCCCTGAGGGAGACCCGGATGCTTTAGACATCCCGACCCCGCGCTCTTACGCTGAGTCGGTCGCGGGTCCCTACTCCTCTCAGTGGCAGTCAGCCATGGACACAGAGATGGCATCCTCAAAGTCCACTGGCACTTACGTCGACGAGGTTCCCCCTCCTTGGGCCAACAACGTTAGTGGCATGTGGATTTTTAGGGTGAAGCGGCCGCCGGGTTCTCCGTCTGTCTTCAAGGCTCGTTACGTTGCTCGAGGCTTCAGTCTTCGACAGGGAGTTGACTTCTTCCAGACCGTCTCCCCCACCCCAAAGATGACCACTCTTCGGGTGCTACTGCACGTTGCCGCTCAGCGTGACTACGAGCTTCACTCTATGGACTTCAGCACAACTTTCTTGCGGGGCAGCCTGTACGAGGAGATCTGGCTGCGCCGCCCTCCTGGGTTCACTGAGTCGTTTCCTCCTGGTACCCAGTGGAGCCTCCGGCGGCTGGTATACAGCCTCCACTAGGTGCCACGTGAGTGGCACGACACACTGAGGACTACTCTTGCGGCACTTGGGTTCACGCTCTCTACTGCTGACCCGTCGCTGTTTCTGCGCACCGACACTTCGCTGCCTCCGTTCTACATCCTTGTATACGTTGACGACTTGGTCTTTGCCATTGCTGACACTGAGGCTCTCGCCCACGTGAATTTGGAGCTGCAGAAGAGACACACGTGCACAGACATGGGTGAACTGCGCAGCTACCTTGGCTTGCAGATCACCCGGGACAGAGCACGCCGCACCATCACACTGACTTAGTCACACATGGTGCAGCAGGTCCTTCAGCACTTCGGCTTCACCTGGTCCTCAACACAGGCCACTCCTCTGACGATAGGTCACTCGCTCTCAGCTCTGCCTTCGGATGAGTTCGTAGAGCCGAGTAGTCCTTACCCGGAGCTAGTTGGTTGCCTCATGTACCTGATGACTTGCACTCGTCCTGACCTAGCATACCCTCTTGGCCTTCTGGCCCGCTACGTGGCTCCTGGCAGGCACCGAAAGGTGCACTGGGATGCTGCAAAGAGGGTATTGCGCGATTTGTGCAGTACATCGGGCATGGGGCTCGTGCTTGGAGGAGGGAGCTCAGTTGTTCTCACTGGGCACTCAAACGCTTCTTGGGTTGATGACCAGGCTACTCAGCGGTCGTCACAGGGTTACACCTTCAGCCTTGGCTCTCGTTCAGTTTCTTGGCGTTCTACTCGATCGTCTTCTGTTCTCAGCTCTAGTTGTGAGGCTGAGATCTACGCCACAGCCATGGCTGCACAGGAGCTACGCTGGCTCACCTACCTGCTGACCGACTTCGGAGAGCGGCCTAGTTCTCCTCCAGTGTTGTACGTCGACAACAAGGCTGCCATTGCCTTGTGTGAGGAGCATAGAACGAAGCACATCGCTCTCCGTTACTTCCTGGCTCGAGAGTTGCAGCAGCGCGGTCAGCTTCGTCTGCGTTACGTGGCCACTCAGGCCAACACCGCTCATATATTCACCAAGGCACTTCAGCCTGGTGATCATCAGCGCTTGTGCACTATGCTGGGGATGGTGCCCACTTTTCCTCACTTGCTGTAGGCTTTGCCTATACTGTGATCTCTCTGTATATATACCTTCCTGTTTGTAGGCTATAGTGGGTTAGCCTTTAAGGGGTACACAACTATAGGGTTTCATACTTGCTCTCCAATGTTTCATAGTTCAATCACTTCTTGTTTGCTCTCTCCCACTTAGTCTACGGAGGTGTGTCAAACTGTATATTTGTGTTCTCTCTAGGCTATAGTGGGTTAGCATACAAGGGGTACACCATTTTAGGGTTAATACTTCTATCCAACTCATTCATAGTTCATTGATTCCTGCACAGTTGATTCTGACAACCCTTTCTTGGGAAGGGTTATGGGGTTTTCACCCTAGGCCAGAAAGTGTACCCTTTGGAAAACAGCGTAAATAGCTTATTTCTCTGACTATGTAGGGTACGACCACATGTATACTGATACCGAATGCTCAATACCGAGAGGAAACACTAAACAGGCCCCTGCAAAATATTCCCAACAGCAAGAATTCAACATGCGACCATACAGATCTTGTTGGGCTGAGAAAAGCCCTTAGGATCTTTGCAAGGCTAAACTCAGAGTAGGAATGTTGTAGTTGCGGAAGCATTATAATGATAAGTATTGAACCACCTTGCGCTAGTATGTGAGGGCAAGATAGATTAATTAAAATAAGGAGATACAAAGGGTTTTATAAGAGTACAAGGAATATGAATAGATATAGCTAATAACCGTTTTACTGTTGCTGTTGCGGTTCGATATAGTGAGGACTCGGGCAACTGCTCAATAACGAGTTAGTTGTTTGTCCTTGCTGTCGCGCTGTATTTGTCAGGTCAAAGGTCGCTCACCTTTGACTTTCGCGTAACTTCCAGCAGTTACTTTTCTTCTTCAACCTCCGAGAGTTGACTCACCGATGCTTCGTTGTGCTTCGCTTCGCTTACAACTTAGTGTTTCGACACAACATAAGCGCTTAAATCACTTGTTTCCAACACTCCCCTTCGCTTCTAGAGTGTCGTTGCTGGTGACGTGGCCTTGTCCAGTCAGCAGCATGCAGTACTCGAACTTCTGCTTTCGAGCTTCTTGGTCAAGTAATCAGCTGCCATCTCGGACGTGGGGCAGTAGGACAGTTCGAGTCTCCCCTTCTCGATTTTGTCCTTCACAAAGAAATATCGTAGTGAGATGTGCTTCGTCCTGTTCGCAAATCCGCTCTTGTTTCTGTGAAGAAATGAGGAATGAATGAACTAGGAAAGAGGTGGGTACAAGTAGAAAAACCTGGAAATGTTGTACCCCATATTGTTTACCCCACTATAGCCTACACAGACTATAGCATATAAGTTTGACACACTCCCATAGGCAAAGTGGGGGAGAACAAGGGGTCACAAGACCAGTCAAGCAAAGCAAAGCAAGCTCAGGGTGGATCGCAACGTCACCACACAGTCCGAGCACAAGTTCAAGGCCACAAGGCCAGTTCACATGTGTGAGGATCTAGGATCGAGCTCAGAAAAGAGAATGAGAATTGAGTCGAATTGAATTCTCACCTGGGTACAATATGAGGCTATATGTAGGCTCGACACAAGGCCCCGTAACCAGGTGTTACGCGAAGGTTCCGCGGGTCGCGTAGCGTCCCGAACAGATCCTTACCGAATTCGGTAAAAGGCATTTCGGTGGCAACCGAAAAGGCCACAATTTGGTGCACGCAACCTAGCTCGGTGCTATAACTATAATAAAATATAGGAAAGCACCTAGCCTAGGAAATCAAGCTATTCATGCATGCATATGATTATCCTATGCTAGAAATAGCATGATAAAGTAAAGGCAAGCAAGCATAGCTGGCATAAGACGTCGTACTCTCACACGTCCCCCCCTCAAAGCTGGGTGGCGTGAAATACACCCTGCTTGACAAGATAGTCCTTGAGAGCATGGCGCGCGTTGCCCATATCAGCTTCTGCAACCCAACTGTCCTCAGTGGGGTCGTATCCCTTCCAGTGTATCAGGAACTCGAGGGTCTTGCCGGCGCGGCGCCAATGAGAGAGAACGCGCTCGATCTCGTACTCGTGTTCAACCTGTATAAGAACAGGTGGAGGTGGCGGTAGCTGCCGTCCCTGGAACTGTTGGTTGGGGTCCTTGTAGGGTTTCAGTAGCTGCACATGGAAAGCATTGTGAAGCCTCCAAGTAGTAGGTAAGCGCAAGCGGAATGTAACTGGTGTCCCCTATGCCTCAACGAGAAAAGGACCACAGAAGCAAGGCCGGAGTTTCGATAGGAGGTGAGACAGGTTCAAGTTGCGCGTGTCAAGAAGCACCTGATCTCCAACTGCTACTGAGTGATCACGTCGCTAACGATCGGCATACTGCTTCTGGGAGGTCTGCATCATGGTGAGTCGTCGCTGAGTCTTCTCCCACAGCTGCTGCATGGTGGTGACGAAGTCATGTGCGGCTTGGACGTGTGCCGGTCTGGTTAGCTGCTGTGGTGTGAGTGGTTCCCGTCCGTAACACACGAAGAAAGGAGTTTTCCTTGTGGCCGCATGTGATGCGTTGTTGTAAGCGAACTCTAGGGTCGGTAACT